AACTTTGATATGAAGTTCATATATGCTTATGTGGGTGTCCCAGGTAGAGCACATGACACAAAGGTATTGACTTATTGTGCGAGGAATGAGCATTTTTTTCCACATACGCCAACTGGAAAGTATTATTTGGTTGATGCGGGATATTCTACAAGAACATGGTATCTTGGTCCGTATCATAGATTTCGGTATCATCTCGATCAGTTCAACAGAGGAGGACCACCAACGAACACTCGAGAGGTGTTCAACCGGAGACATTCAAGCATGCGATCTGTGATTGAGCGGACATTTGGAATGTGGAAAGAAAAATGGAGAATTTTTGACCGTAGGCATCCAAAGTATGGTTTGGTTAAATCGATAAAGCTAGTAACAGCAACGATGGCTCTACACAACTTCATACGTGATTCACATCGAGAAGATAATGATTTTTGTGCGTTAGCAGAGAAGAGAAGAATATCATACACATGGTGATGATGAAGAAGATGATGATGATGATGATGATGATGATGATGATGATGATGATGATGATGATGATGATGATGATGATGATAACGACGATGAAAATGAAGATGAAGAAGATGATGGTAATGGTCATGGTGGATATATTCCATATGAGCCAAGAGGTGATAGAGCCATGGAAGATTTACGTGATCATATTACTACTGAGTTGAGTAGAGGATATCGATTACCTTACTAGTTTATTTGATTTGGTTTTGTACTTACTTCTATTTAATAATTTTGTAACATTTGATTTTTGGTTTTAAACTTTATTCTGGTTTATTAATATGATTTTATTTATAAGATGTGTATAAATTAAAAATAAAAAAATTGAGTAACTAAAACGAATTTAAAAAAAAAAATTAATAATAGTTTGTCAAAAAACTAAATAAATATTTTAAATGTAAAATTCTGGTCGCAAGCGACACTAAAACGAACAACCCAGCGACTACCGCAGCGATCAACCGCGCGACATGCAAACGAACAACCCAGCGACAAGTTGCTGCGATCAATCGCGCGACATAGAAACGAACAACTATCAGTGACATGAAGTATTTTCTCCAATGGTAATCGGTGCACAGCCCCAGGGCCCAAAAAATAAGGGGTCCACTAATAAAAAAAAAGTTTAGTCACCCCAGTCCACAATAGGAGGTTCACGAATAAAAGGGAAAATTTTAGTTATCTAACCCAATACATAAGATGAAGAGCCCACTAATAAAAAAAATATTTAATCACCTACTCTTTTATGTCGGTAGATTTTTTCAGGGTTTACTTTTCTTTTTGCTTGCCTCTGATCAAAATCTTTTCATCTTCTTTCTCTAAATCTGAAAAAAAAAAAATTACATCAAATACTTGAATTTGATCACGATAGTCTCTGGTAAGATTTGGTTTTTAGATTGTTGATCTATGATGTATCTTATATTTTTGTGTTAACACAATTTTCTTTTGAAAGAAAATCTGAGAAAAAAATCACTTTAATTTTATATGTTGTCATCATATTATATTCTTAACGTCAAATGTACACCATCTACATACTAAATTTTTAGTTTATTTTCTTCTAATTTCAGGGTCATTCATAATTTTTGGAAATCATATTACAAGGTGATATCTTTCTGTTTATTTGATTTTAGCTTAAATCATGACTTCAGGATGTCCAAAAAGAAAAAAAAAAAAAAAGGTAGCAGAATTGTTTATAAAATCTCAGAAAGGTTCTATGGAGAAATTTGTGGTAAGAAAAAATGCTAATGAAAATCTTGAACCTGCTAGTAAGGATACTAGTACTGAAGTAAATGATCATTTTGATGATAGTATTAGTCATTTGAGTGACCATGATAATGTGTTAGATGAATCTAATGCTGAAGGTTTGAATGTTCATGAAAAAAATAGTTCATTCATTGATATTTATGATCCTAGGTATTGGGATAACCTTGATAATAAAATGAAAGATCTTTTAATTGAAAAAGGGTTTAAAAGAGAAATGAATCTTGTGTTTCCCCCAGATAAGAGCTGTAGACGTTTTTCATATGCTTATTATTCTAGGAAATTGAGTAATGGGGAAATTAGTGATAGAAATTGGCTGGTTTATTCAAAACATGAGGACAAATGTTACTGTTTTTGTTGCAAGTTGTTTAAATCTGCTGTTTGCATAAGTTCATTACCTAATGATGGATTAAGAGATTGGAAGCATCTTAGTGATAGGCTTAAACATCATGAAAGAAGTGTAGATCATATGACTAACATGAAAACTTGGAATGAGGTGAAAGTTAGATTAGAAAAAGATTTAACTATTGATAAAGAATTACAAAAGGAAATCTCAAAAGAAAAAGAGCGCTGGAGGCTTGTTTTAACTAGAATAATTGCTGTAGTGAAATTTCTTGCTAAACAGAATTTGGCATTTAGAGGAAAAAATGAAAAACTTTATCAAGATAGCAATGGTAATTTTTTAGGCTCTATTGAAATGATTGCAGAATTTGACTTGGTAATTCAAGATCATATTAGACGCATTCAAAGTCAAGAAATCCATAATCATTATCTTGGTCATAATATTCAGAATGAGTTTATCTCTCTTTTAGCTCATAATTTTCAACTTTCCATTGTAGAAGTCATTGAGAGGCAAAATATTTTTCTGTCATTCTTGATTTTACACCGGATGTGAGCCACCAAGAGCAGATGACTTTAATACTACGATGTGTGAATTTTTCAAATAAAAAAGTAAGAGTAGAAAAATACTTCTTAGAGTTTCTTAAAGTAGATGACACATCCGGTTTAGGACTCTTTGAAAAATTGTTAGATGCTTTAAAGGCTCTTACTCTTGATGTTGGTAATGTGAGAGGTCAAGGTTATGATAATGGTTCCAATATGAAAGGAAAACATCAAGGTGTTCAGAAAATATTTCTTGATATAAATCCGAAAGCATTGTATATGCCATGTGCTTTTCATAGTCTTAATCTTGTTGTTAGTGATATGGATCATTCATGTGTAAAAGCTATTTCTTTCTTTGGAATTTTACAGCGGATATATGCGTTGTTTTCTGGTTCTACAAAGAGATGGAAGATTTTACTTGACCATGGTCCTTTTTTTACATTGAAATCTTTATGTAATACTCGTTGGGAGAGTCGAATCAAAAGTATCAAAGCAATCAGATTTCAAGCTCCACAAGTAAGGTCAGCTTTATTGGAATTATATGAATATGTGATGATGCTATGACAAAAAGTGATGCTGAAAGCTTAATCATGTCATTTGATAATTTTGAATTCTTACTTGGCATGGTCATTTGGTATGATTCCGTTTGCTATTAATTCAGTGAGTAAGAATTTACAAGCTAGATCTGTGTGCATTGATAATGCTTTGAAACAATTAGAAGGTGTTATTTTGTTTTTGGAAAATTTTAGACATGGAGGATTTGCCTCTAGTTTGAGTATAGCTCAAAGTATTGCAAATGAAATGGATGTTGATCCTGTATTTCCAAATAAGCGCTGAATCTTTAGGAAAAAACAATTTGATGAAACTCAGTTAGGTGAAGAAGTACTAACGGGTGAAGATGATTTTAGAGTTAATTACTTTTTAGTTGTGGTGGACATGGCAATAACTTCAGTCAATAAGAGATTTGATCAAATGGTAAATTTTAAAAGTGTTTTTGGCTTCTTATTTGATTTGAGAAAACTAAAAACATTAGATAAAAGTAAACTACGAGAGCATTGCACTAATTTTCACAAAACGTTTTCTCATGGTAGTTCTTCAAATGTTGATTTAAATGATTTTTATTCTGAATTAAGGATCTTGTAAACTACTTTATCCAGTGTGCCTATGGAACCTAGTGAAGTTCTTGAGTTTGTTGAAAGTGTGGGTTGTTATCAAAATATTTCAATTTCTTATCGCATTCTCTTGACTATACATGTAACTGTAGCTTCAGCAGACAGAAGTTTTTCAAAACTAAAATTACTGAAAAAATATTTGATGTCTTCAATGTCTCAAGAAAGATTGAATGGTTTAGCTATTTTATACATTAAAAAGACATGTTAGAAGACATTGATTTTAAAACTATTATTCATGATTTTGCATCGAGCAGAGCTCGAAAAAACTGTTTCTTATGATTTTTTTTTTTTTTTAGATGACTACTGTTTTTCTTTGCTTTTCAGGTTCAAGAAACACGTCAGATATGAATCATAAGTATAAATAAGTGGTTGCCAGAAAAAAATGCAAAATTTTATTTTATTTGTTTGTTGCGTTTTCCTAAACATTATTGTTTGCTATTTTTATTGTAATATTGGTATTTTTGTTGTAGTAATAATTTTTTAAATAGCTTTTTTATATGTTGGAGGGTCTATTTTAGAATTTTTCCCAGGATCTATCAAATGTATAAGCCAGCCCTTGTCGCTGGTCGTTGACTCTGGTCGCTGACGCCAACGACCACCAAACGAACACCGCTTTCATCACCACCGGTTGAACATATGAAAATATCATTCAATCCAATATAGTTGCTTATGAATAATTTATATTTCCAGTTAGTTTCTTGATCATCCATGTTTCGACTCTGTAGATCGTCAATACGCGATTTCAAGACTAGAGCAAGCAGGAACAAGAACGACTTCCAGAATATATATTAACTGTCGGTTTCAGAGATCATCATCCGTGATTAGCCATTTAACCAAAAAGCAGTCCTAGTAATGATTAATGAAGCAAGCGCAAACGTTGTTCTAATGAAAACGCAAAATGAACCCGTCGGTACTTATAGGAAAACTCTCTTCTTTTTTAAACATTATCATTAATTGCAGATCGTGAGTTTCATGAGACCAGCTGCATGACAGTAACACTATTTATATGTGAAGATAAATTAATTTGAAGTTAAAAGATTAAAATAAATTGTTTAATTACCCCATTCTTTTGTATTTTTATCAAATTACACTTTTGTATTTTTCGCAAATTACACTTTTTGTATATAGAAAACAAACAATATATGAAAAATTAAATAACGATCTTGAATTGGCAAAAAGTCGTCATCATATTTAGAAGGTGACGTCAGGGACAATTCCAAGCTCCTTAAAAGCAGCGGGACAATCAGCTAACGGCGTCTTAACCATGAAACCGAGAGGGTTAACGATACGTGTCTCGTGAGAGACAATACCGTCGTTCGCCGTCAGGCTAACCTTGGCGGCGTTACGTAGGTAAGCGTCTTGGCTAACGTCGCTGCAACCACTGTCTGGTGATTGGAGGAGCACGAGCTCGCAGACTTCCTCCTCGTGATCACCGGTGACTTCCATTTTGTAGCTGCCTGATTTGTCTGTTACGGCTTCTTTTGTCAATGTTACGGTTCCGTTGGTTCTGCTCCTGCACTCTAACTTCACTTTAGCACCTGCAACAACCAAAAAAGGACAAAGTTTTAGTAAAAAAAACGAAATATTCTAATTATTGAGAGAAGAAAAAAGGTTTGTTCTCTTAATAATTACCCCTACAGATAAATGTTTTGTGTGCATTTACATATAAAGAAAAACATAAAATTTTGATATAAGTACATTAGTTCTGTTATTATTAATTAAAAAATTAATAAATATGCTTATTTGTTGAAATTTATAGTTACTCATTAAATGCACAAAAGCATAAAATGCATTTTTAAAGATTTATTTAATACTATATTTCATAAAGGGTAACAGAGCACTAATCTTTTTATTATTTAACGTCTTAAAATTAAACGAAAACAGCTAATTTTACTCTAATAAGAAAACATTATTAATTATTTATTTAAGCATATTTCAACCAAGTATACAAATAATTTACAGAATACAAATAATTATAAACATAAAATAAATTATTTTACACTACAGTTTGAAAAAGCATTTAATATAATTTAAAATAAAAACTTTCTTAAAATGTCAAATAATACAAATTAGAAAAGTATTGTATATTTGATATTCGAATAATAATATACCTTCAAGAAATTTGCTGAGACGGGTAATGAATTGGACACGGCAAGTGTCACAATAAACCGATCCCTGGATTTGGAAATGGTCAAAGTCATCGGCATCAGCGATGGCAACGCCGGCAAGAGAGGACAGGCACACCGCAGACACAAAGAAGAAGAAGATAGATTTGGTCGCCATTTGTTTTGATCTTTGTTCAATACCTCTTCTCTCTTATAATCGTTTTCTTTGTTGAAAATGTTTTAGAGAAGAGGACAACTAATCTACAAGAGCCACAAAGTTCGGTTTTATACAATAGAAACCATTTGTTATTTTTAGATTTCTTTTAAAAGTCATGTATCTGTTAGATTACCTATCTTTTCTTGAAAAAAGCAATAATGAGCTTGGTAAATTCTTTTAATAAGAACCTCTAGTTTCCAAATGTGTCATCCCTTTGACTCCCTGTCTTTCCTCTCTTTGGTTCTTCACCTAAAATTAGAAAGAAGTAATAGAAAGACACAAACTACTGAAATGTTTGAATTTAATATACTTTTACCATTAAGTTAATGAAATTTTTAACAAATAAAACACATTAGATGTCATGTTCAATATAGTAAGGCTTAGTAGTTTTTATCTTTATCATAAATTTATAGCCATTAGTTATTCAATACTTTCTCTTTTATTGGATAGAGAGTCTGCACGAACTCTGATCATTCTATCTGCCACTCAGACCGTTTAGTCCATCCCAATTCCATCGGCTTATTCTCCATCTTTCTTTTTGGACCTACACTGAGTCTTGGGTTTCAAGTAAGCTCTTTTCCACTGTGAACTTTCTATAATGGGAAACGCCCTCTAACTATAGCCTAATAGGTTTGTAACCCATTTTCTCTTCTTTCTCTTTCTGCATGCTGCATCTAATATGAAAGCGCCAATGTTCACAAAAACAATTCTTTATTTGGCTCGGTTTTACTCTGTCTAATCAGCCACAGTGTAGCTGCATGAGTAAGTGTATTATTGAAAAATAATTAATTATAAAATGTACAATTTAATTTGTATCAACATATGATTTTAATAGAATTATGATTGTTTATAGTCAAATGTTTATGATACCATTCACTAACATTGTTATATAGTTAACTTTGTGAAGTTATCTTTATAAAAAATAATGATTTGAATTATTGTTTAGGGCATAACATCTAAAAATATTAGAACGACACTATGCATTCATTCTATGACTATTACATTGAACATTCATCTCATAACAGTATGTACCACTACTAACTCAATCTTATGGCTAGCCGTTAGCCTTAAAACATGTTCAAGAGCTTCATACATAACCTTTTTATAGATGGAATAGATTCTGAGAGTGATGACGATGAAACATCACTGAAAGCTGTTGAAACCTTTCTTTGGAGAAAGGCAATGAGACCAGTGCAAGTTTATCTCGTTCGTCTTCGTCAAGTGTAATAATGTCTTTGATGATTTCTGGCAGGTGTGTATCAGGGTAATGAACACGTGTGTTTTGGACAATATTGAGTTTTGCTCAATTCTAAAACAGAGCGAGAGGAGGCAATTCAAATGGTCTGTAGTATAGTTTCTCATGACTTTCCGCAAGTTTTTGTTAATATTATTTTCTTCTTAGTACTGTCTTTGTTTTTCCAGGTACAACTCTCAAAAGATGCATCAGTTGATGAGTCTGAGAATCCAAGGATGCACGATCCAACAATGAAGATGCTGGATCCCACAGTGATGCTCGGGTGGTCGTGTAATTAGTACTTTATTTCTGTCTCATGCTTTGTGGACCGTTGACATTTTTGTGAAGCTTTCTTTTATCATCAGTACATATGACATGATGAGTTTCGTATATTCACATGATTTATCTGTCTTTAAAGAGAACAAAAAAACAAATTTAATAGACAAAATGACGAAAAATACCAAATGATGTGAATAATAATTGAAGCTAAGATTGCTTCAACATGAGCTTATGTTGATGTGTTTGGCTTTGACATTGAATATGACATGATCTCGCTTTATCTCTTAGCTCTTGAAACGCCCTCATTGTCTCTGCATCAAATCCTCCTGCAAACTGAACACAAAGGAAAAAAAAAAGAGAGACAAAGTTGTAAGAGACTGCACAAAAAAAAATGTTGTAAGTTTGTAACAGAAACAGAAGAGGATCAAATGTCTATGGCTTCACCTGATGAACACGGAATGCGAATTTGACGCCTTGAACTATAAGCTCTTCCTCTTCAGGGCCACCGCCTCCAATGGCTTCGAGCTCTGCAGATACTCTCTTCATATACTTCATCGCTAGTTTCACAGACGCCAGTTTAATCTGAAAATCACATATATAAACGCTACACACTTAATACAAACTTCCATTATCTTATTCCAAAGTCCCTATTTGGCATAACTATTTTAAGTTGCAGAATATACAGTTTGAGCACAATACACGCAACGTTAAGACTTTAAAGAGTAGTCATGAGCGAATCTGATTCCATTCTCTACTGCTTTGTTACAATGATATAACAACTCATGAACATCCCAAGGCTAATAAAAACAAAAGAAGCAGACAAGAAGATACAATTTTGAAATTCACATGCGTGCACATAGGAAAACCCCAAATATATTTAAAGTAACACTCCACCATTCAAGTTAGTTTTGTTCAACATATATTTGTCATGTAGTACATAATAGTTATTGCCATGTAAACAAGTAAAACACGCAATAATAAAGTGAAGACAGTAATCAAACCAATCTCCTGCCAGTGCCAAGCAACAATTGACTTTTATCAGAAAATGGGGACCATATAGAATTGTTGTTTCTATATCTTTTTCATTCATCACTACTCCAGTTTAATGTGTAATGTAAAAGCTAAGTAATGACCACAAGTAAACTAGATTAACCAGACTATTGTAGCTGACCTGACTAGTAACGCCAGTTTCGAGCATCCAATCAACCGGAATCTGGAAAGTCTTGAACTTTGTCGCCGATGATTCCTTCATCCTCGACAGACTATAAACCCCATGCTCTAACCTTCAAAACCCACAAAGAAATTTGATTACTTCTCTTGAATTTTTTTGAACACAGAATTAAAAAAAAAAGATTGGATTTTTATTATACTTTTCGAACAGAGCTTGCATTTTCTTGAGAGCAGAGTAAGAAGGTTGACGAGGGTCTTCACGGAAACGAGAAGCTTCCGATATGAGTTTCTTCAAATCGAAGTAACAAAACGCTGCTTCACGTAAAGCATCGGCTTTTTGCTCCGGCCATTCGAAGTGTTTCAACACTGCTCTCTCATCAACAAGGTAAGAGAGTTCGTCGTCGAGCCATTTCACGAAAGGCACCACGTCCTCGATGTTTGAAAACGCTGCGTTTTCTACTTCCTTGATTAAGAACTTTATGAAGTCTCCTTGCGTCTCTACGTCCGTTTTTATCTGCACAGTGTACGGTTTAGAATTAATAAACCAAACCGGTTAATTCTCACTGATGCAAGACAAAAAGAGAAGCTAAACCGTAATTTATAGACCAAACCGGTTTATGACCGGGTAATTGACGCAAGACAAAAACAGAAGCTAAATCGTTATTAATTGACTAAACCGGTTGATGACCGGGCAAATCTTACTGACTCAAGACAAAAATAAAAGCTAAACCGTAATTTATTAAGTTAACCGGGGAAAGAGAGTTTTACCGCGAGTAGATAACCCGATCGGTTTTCGATTTCTCCGATCATGTCTCTAGCGTTGGAGCTAGCAAGTACTGCCTCCGCGGCGGCGTTTCCACCGCCGGTCGAATCTCTTCTCGAGTTTGTGGAGTCTCTTCTCATCAACGAGTGGTAAAACTCGACAACTTCCGGTACTTTTCTTACTTTCGCCGACGCTATGTTTAAACTCTTCGGCGGTGGCGGTGGTGGAGGCGGGGCTTTGGAAACGGACGGAAGATGTGGCGGTGGTCGCGGAGGTGGTGGTGGAGGAGGTACGTTCGTTCTCCGCGGTAGAGGATCAGCTCTGTTCTCCGTGGAATCGACGGATGAAAATGACCGTTGAGGCGGTGGTTTAGGGACTCTAGGAACCCTAGATCTAACGGTTGAGAGTGATGACACGTGGAGTTCCTCGATCTCCTCTTTTCCGTTAATGTCGCCGGGTGTAACGGTCTTGTTGGCGTCCTCTTGGTTCGGAACCGGGTCGGGTATGTTTCTCATCGACCCGACCCGTTTTAAACTCCGGATCAGACTCGATTTCGCCGACACGTCCATTAAACCTTGAAACCTCTGAGAGACCGAGAGCGCGTGTTCCTCACTCTCCCTCAACGACGAAACGAGTTTCCGTAGCTCAACCGTCTCCGCCTCCATCTCCTTCTCTCTCCTCTCGCTCTCTCTCCTCACCTCCTCGCTCCTCTCGATCTCTCGCCGTAACCTCTCGTTCTCCTCCGTTAACCTCGCCGTCTCTTTCCTCGACTCCTCGATTTCGCCCTCCTTCTCCGCGACCTGGGCCTCGAGCGACGGGATAACCGAGACGGATGATTCTCTGAGTAGCTTGAGCTGGAGAACCTCTGTCCTTAACAGAGCTTCTCTCTCGCGAAGCGTCTCCACTTGACGACGAAGGTCTGAGACGACGGCGGCGTTTTGATCGTTGTGTACTTGAGCTGAAGCGCGTGGGAAGTAAACGCCGAAGGAGCGAGTGAAACCTGGTTTCTGATTAGACGACGGTTTCGTAGCAGAACCGGAAGGCGGTTTGAGCTGTGGAGGAGGCTGAGGGGGAAGAGGGAGTGGAGGAGGAGTGGTCATGTCTTTTGGTTTGCTTGTAGGAGATTTGTTAAAACCCATGGTCACACGGACCTTACCAGACACCATTGATGATCTGTTAGAAAGAAAGCTTCAAAATTCTAGAGAGAGAGCAGTGATAGTGATGACTGATGAGTCAAAGTTTGTATCAAGAAGAACAAGATGAGATGAGGTTTTCTAATGTTTTTTTTTCCTCTCAAAGAAATAAATAAAGTGGTTAAAATGCTTTACCTTTTTCGACCGTTGGAAGAATAATGTATATCTACCATATGAAATTGAAACTAAGCTTTATTTTGTAATGGTCACACACATAACGAGGAACGTTCTTCTGTTCATCTTAGATTCAAAATTTTTAAAAATAAGTAAAGAAGAACAACCCTTTAAAGGCTTTGGTAAGGTGGTGTCTCGGTTCTTTTCTTTATTTGCCTTTGTCTTATGACAACTTTAGTTTTTATTGGCAATGATACTGAGATTGGTAGCTTCATCTTGGCAATATGTATACATGTGTGCACTTGGAGATGGCCGTAGAACAATGGTAGAAAAGATAGCTGTGTTTGATGCTGACTCTTACTAGCTGCATTACTTTCTCAACAGAATCTTATTGCTTTTTTCTCTATTTTTGTACTTATATCAAACTTACATGCATCCATCTACATCATCATCAAGTCATAATCGATTAACCTTTCCTTCATTTAATATGATGGATTTATTCATATTTCATAATTACTTATATGAGTATTATGTAAAGTTGTTACTTAATCCTTTGAATCAAAATCTATTAGTTGTTTTGTTATCCAAATAGAAAGTTTAGTCCATTGGACGACTTGAATCTTCTTAGAAACTGGCCATTGGCATCTAAATAAGCAATATTGTAAAAAAAAAAAAAAGCAAGCAATATTGGGATTCCAATTTCGGGTCAATTTGATTAATAGAGTTTAAAACAGTAGAGTTTTGCTTAATTCGATTTTTTTTCATTTATACAAACAATGTATCTCATTTTTACTAAAACAAACAATGTATCCGTCTCCAAAACATTTACCCCTTCCCCTATTTACTTTCTTTATTAGATAATATTATTCCATCTTGTGGCTGAGAACAATGACCACCAAAGGGTGAAACATTATGTTTGTTCTCAGTCCTGTACATAGAGTATGTTTGATTTATATAATCTTTTCCCCAAATTTGACTTATACAAACACAAATTGACTGCCCGCAGTTAAATAAATTTATGTCCAAATGTAGATAGAAAAAAACGAACGTGTAGACGTATATGTTCGTAGTTTTTTATAGAGAGTTATTAAGATTGAGAAAAGCTTTAGCTGACTATAAAAGGGAAATGGGGTAATTAATGTGACCAGCGGTGAAGAAGGGGAAAGAACAGAGAATTGAAAAGAATGTCACATAACTTGTGGGGAATGACATATCTTATATATTCATGTGTCTATATGTATGTTTAATTAAATAAACAATAAAATTTTGAAGGTGGTCCTTCCACAAAAAAATCAGCATCTTGTCTTTTCTACGTTCCCGTAACATACAAAATATGCACAAATTTGTACACATTCATCCATGTGCACACATGACATACCCAACTATATCTCATGCACAAAGTTTCGATATCTGAATATGATCGATCCCGTGTGCCATGTTTTGTGTTTAAACTTTTATCGTTCCATCGTAATAGCTTTATATTGGATAAGAAGAAGAAACTGCAGTTTACAATATAGTAAAGACGGTAGTTGGTTAATTTGGTTTGGTTTGGTTTAAACCAAAATCGGTCCTAAAAAATCTGTGGCTAGAAGCCAATATAAAAAATATGGCCAGAGCTATTCGAAACCAAACCACTAAGATACTACGAACTTTTTGTACAAATTTGGCTGTTTAAAATGATAATATTTGATGGTCGGAAGCACAAGCTTCATTGGCTTCCTTCCAAAACCTGCTCTAGTTTGAAGTTGGTGATGCTAACTTGTCTACTCACAAAAAAATATTGGATAAGAAGCGGAAACTGTAGTTTACTAACTGTAGTCTCCTCCCATTAAAGACGGTTAATTTGGTTTGAAGTTGGTGATGCTGACTTGTCTACTCACGAGAAAATATGTAATTAGACATATTAAGAGAATTGTTCCTATTTTGAGTATTGCATTTTTGTTTCTCGAAAGTGGGCTCAATTGAAGAGTTGGTATGTGTGAATTTATGAAAAAGATTTGTGTCGGGACACTTGGCCATATTGAGGTGTTAAATGGACCTTTCTCTTCTCACATGCTTTTTATTTCTGTAAGCAAAAAAAACAAAAAAATAGAATAGTATCCATATCTAACTCTTTTTTTTTCTCTGTGAACCGATGATGTTCAGTCACGTTGAGACACAAGTTCTAATACATAGAAATGTTTTTGGGTTCACCACGTAGGGGTGAAACTCTAGTTCAGAAACCAATAGAATTTCATTACTTTATATTCAATATCTTTTATAAAATAAACAAAATATTATCAAGTTGTATTATGTTTTAAAAATTAAAAGATAAAAATAAATAAAAATAATAGTGGTTGCAAACAATTTTTTTTTAAAATATATATATTTTTGATACCATCAGCAAAACACTAAATCCTAAACCCTAAACTCCTGAATAAATCCTCAACCTTTGGATTAATTTTAAACCCTCAATTTTATTATTGATCCAAGGGTTTAGGGCTTATGATTTATGGTTAGGGTTTAGGGTTTAGGATTTATTGTTTAGTGTTTTGTTGAAGGTATTAAAAATATTTTTTAAAAAATTCAAAGATTTATCCAAGGGTTTAGGGTTTACAGAAAGGTTTTAAGGTTTATGATTTAGGATTTAGCATTTTGATAATAATCCTAAATTTTTTTTAAAAAAAAATAACCACTCTTATTTTTATTTAATTTTATCTTTAAATTGTAAAAACATAATATAACTCTACAATATTTTGTTTCCTTTTTTAAAAGATATTGAATACAAAATTACATAATTCTATTGGTTAGTGAACCTAGAGGTTCGCCCGAGGGGTGAACCCAAGAATTACTCTAATACATATGCCGACGGATATAGAATTCCCAGAAACAAAAACTCAAAGAAAGGCATCTAAAATTCACACCGGGACAACTTTTGAATACAACATAAAACACAATTGAAACATAAACCAACGAGAACAAGCTACATAGAGGTAAATGACGATTCAGCACAACCAACGTTCTCACCATAATATATAGCAATGATCTGGATATATCGTAGCTGCCATCGGCCCGCCATATGATACCTTCCACTTCTAGAACCGAAGACACCGAATCTTCTCACCCCGGATCTGTCACTGCTGCCCATGGTCTGCCGAACGATACCATCCCCAACTAAGAACTTAAGACCAGAACTTCACAATCCAACAAGTTTGAGCGCTTCATGCTCCACATAACACTCGAATACGGCTGGAACGCACCTTCTGGCGCTCTTTTACACCTAGATAGAAATCCACAATAACCCATCAAATACACAAGCCTCGTCGGCTCCTATAAAAACTGCAATCTGAACCGACGAGAGAACACTGCTACTACCACAACAGAAAAAAGAAACTGCACCTAAAGTCCAAGCTCTAACTCGCCTCAACATCGAACCCAAGCTCAAAATAAAGACAACCTTACACTTCCTAAACCAACAAGGCTCAAACAAACTAACGAGCCGACAAGAAAAACAACAACAATCCATCACCATAGACTTCCAACGAAACATAAATAGAGATGAAGAGCACGGAAAAAAGATCAACACGTCCAGAACATCAGCCATGTACTACTACAATACCAAAACTACCAAACCCTAGGTAATAAACCCAGATCTGAAATTGTCGGGGACCGGAGCTCCAAATCACAACCTCACGAAACCAGATCTGAACCAAGACTCTAAATCGACTCCAAAGATACCAATATATATCACCGGTGCTCAAATCCTCACATCCCTCCTCATCTTAAATCTTGGTAGTAAAAACATACTCTGGAAAAACTACACAAAGCAAACAAGGAAACCCCCAAAGTATACACTCCTCTCACAACGCCATAAGGGCCGCCGAAGAGGATGAAACCCACAAAATTTTCTCTCTTTTTTTCCGTTTCTATGTTCTATTTTCTTTTACTATTCTATTATGTAACTTTGCTTCACCAATCATTAGGCCATGTTTATTAGAGGTTCTTAGGGTGAGGTTCGTAGTTTCGGTTAAGATACGGTTCTTAGATTTTATCTAAGAACCGGCTCTTAAATAAGAGATATAGAGATATGAAAATCGGTTTTAGCCAAAAAGTGTAAAAACAAAACAAAAAGTCAAATCATAAGTTATGAACCCCCACTCTAATAGCTTCTCAATAAACATTTATGCCCTTAATGTACCAACCCTATCAATCTAGTATCCAATATTTTAACATTTTCTAAATAGCATGAGAAGTAAAATGTATGTACATCGTGCTCTTAGTGTAGAGGAGTATTTTTGAAGTGAGTAGATATTCTATAACAACAATCATTTGTATAAATCTACTTCACAAAATGATAGATTTAAGAATGACGATGTCAACTATGATTCTTTTATCCGTATGAATCGTTGAATTTTGTTGTTATGACATAAGTAAGTAAAAGAGTAATGATCCCAATGATCATGCGATTTTGTTTGTTTAACACAGAAAACATGTTGGGGCTAACATTTTCAGGGTAATCGATTTCTTCTATATGTGTCCGTTAGATTTTGTGGAGTCAATAATGAAATGGGCCTTCGCAAAACCATACATTCGGCGTAGGACCATTTTCCACCAAAATGTTACTTTCACATTATACTGCAAGTCTGTAATTATTGCTTCGTGTATACTTGAGTTTTGCGCATCTGTACAATCATATGGTTTTTGAAAGAATATGCTCCCCACGATATTAAGAGTCTATCTTGTTAAGATTTACTTGCCATTATCTTAGGGAAGTTGTAACCAAATACTTGTATATATTGAGTGTAATCGACATATGAGAGAGGCAGAGGAAATACAACTTCTATCATGGTATCAGAGCATCGAGATCTCTAAACCGTATTTTTCTCTCTTTCATCGTCTTTTCTTCTTTCTTTCTACTTCCATGGCTGACCAACAACAAATTGCTGATCGTGCTTTTGGGATAAGATATTACGTACTCTTCTTGGATGATTTCACACACTTTCTGTGGATATATCCTCTTCGACGCAAAAGTGAAGTCTTCTCAAAATTTCTCCACTTCTCAGCTTATATTAACCGTCAATTCCAATCCTCTATCAAAATGTTTCAATGTGACAATGGGGGTGAGTTTGCTAATGCTCAATTCCAACGTCATTTTGATTAAAATGAAATGACATTCAGATTCTCTTGTCCATATACTTCGCAACAAAATGGCAAAT